ATCCTCATGATCCCTGGGCTGAAGGGAAGCTAGCAGAGGTTGACCTGCCCAAGGTCACACAGAGACTTTTTTTACTCATCCTGCTTTTACGTCCCTATGTCCCGTGTACAGAGTGTACGTATACCCCTATTCATGTAAGCCAGTATCCTTTCCCTCTTTATTTAATCAGTGTCTCTAGATTCACAGATTCCCCTGCTCTGCTGAATCTTTTAGGCACTTGGGGGTTCCATCACCCACTTGGGGCACCTGCTGCATCCAGCACTGCCCTGAGATGTCACATCTATTAAACTTGTTTCCCCTTAAAGTATAAATTCTTTACACTTAGCATGAGGCTCCACAGTCAGTGCTCAATACACATGCCAGATAAATGATGAGCAGGCACAGCTAGTGTGTGGAGGGGTGTCCTTCTCAACATAGCTCAGGGGTCTGCAGAGCCAGCAGCAACACACTGTGGGAAAAATGTGAACGTGGATTTAATAGTTTGATGTTTCTATGTTGTTTGCCTTCCTGTATTTTTTTGTGTCCACCTGGGACTGCAAACTCCCAGAAGGCATGGATGAGGAATGAGGGTGTGTGTGGGAGGGGAAGGGTACTGGGGGAGAGAGAGGAGGCACAGGGCAGGGAGCAGAGCTTTCCTATGGAGAGAATAAGGCCTAAATAGAGAAGGGGGGGGGGGGGAGAGAGATCCAAGTTGGAGCAGAAGGAAAGTGAGCCCTGAATAGGAGCCTTGTGTGGGGCCCTGTGGTGGTTGACTCACCAAGACTCGGGAGGGAAAACTCACTAGGGATGAAGAAGGGGCCTGTGTGCTGTGGTCACCACCCCGAACCACCCTGCCATGCCAAGGACACCCTGTCTGCTCTGAGGCCTTTAGTCACGGAAGGCTTTGACTTGGGGTTGGGTGGGCTGGGGAAGCAGGGGAGTGGGAGGGTGGGCACTACAGAAAAGGGAGACGGGTGTTTTCTGAGAGTGACAAGGGCCCTTTTGGTAGAGCTGTATGTTTGCAACCAGGATAGGGAGGTGTCTCTCTCACACAGGCAGGTGTGGCAGGTCAGAGTCATGATGCTCATGGCTTCAGTGACTTCTTGTCCACACCAAAGGAGCAAAGGCTGCCTTATGAGTAAGTGCTTTGCAGAGCTGAGGCCAGACAGACGGAGGCACAGCTTGGAAGGAGAAGCTCCACCATCCTCCCCTCCAGCCTCACTCACCTCAGCTGTCAAACTGGTTCAGAGATATGAGGACAGGATTTTTGTGGCAACAAGTACGCAGACAGCCAGTGGACAGAGGGCAAAGGTCTGGAATCTGGGGCAGCTCAGGTGAAGGAGGTCAGTGCCCACACTTTGTAGGGAATCAGGTGAGAGGAAGGAGGAGTGCCCGAGGGAGCAGCCAGGGATAAGCTAGCAATTCCTGGTCCCAGGCCAGATCAGGGAGGAGCAGGTGGCTGAAGGGGAAGCAAGGGAGTCAGACTGAGCTCTGCCATGAGCTGGACGTGTCAGCTTGGACAAGTCATCTGGCCTTTCTGTGCCTCATTCTCATCTGTAATGTAGGAGCTAGAACGAAGGTTCTCTAAGCTTTCTTCTTGCTCTAACATTTGATGGCCAATCATCCCTCTCCTTTCTCCTCACTGAACCCCATCCTCAGTGTCCAGCTTCCAGCTGAATGTCTCAAAGGCTAGCTGGCTGACAAGGAGCTAATGTTCTAAACTCTCCAGATGTATTCTTTTCCCGCAGTTTTGGCTACAGTATGGCCAGTGAATGGAGAGTGGACTTGAAGGTCCATTGAATGGTTTGAATTCCTGCTGTGCCACTGACTCAGCCCTACTCTGCTGTGGGGCCTTGGGCCATTTCCTGTGCCCCCAGAAGCCTTAGTTACCCTGTTGGCCAAGTAGGAACATGTGCCTCTCTTAGTACTTGTATTGATAAGTGAAGTAATGTAAATAAAATACCTGATTGAGAGTTTGGCAGCAAATAACTTAGAAAGGGTGTGCACCCTCCATTAGAGGACTTGACCATGACCAGAAGGAGCAGAGTTGAGTCTGAGATGGAGGTGGAGGTAGAGGAAGTTTACCGGGGACTAAGTACCCTCGGGTACACACGGAGGAGGGGAGGGACAGGAAGAAAGAAGGGAAGGGAAAGCCGAGCTGTGGCTCAGCCAATCCTGCAGGGGGTTTTGAAGCTGGGATGACCTTTGGAGCTCCCTTGATTAGGGACAAAGGGCTACATCTTTTGTGTGTGTGCCCCTAGCTGCTCCGGCCTATTGGGAACTGAACCTGGGACTCTCTGGTCTGCAGGCCGACACTCCAACCGCTGAGCCAAACTGTCCAGGGCAAGGTCTTTTTTTAAAAATCCTCACCTGAGGATATTTTTCCATTGCTCTTTTTTTTTTTTTTTTTAAGATAGGGTGGGAGGGAGAGAGAAACATTGGTGTGAGAGAGACACATCGATTGGTTGCCTCCTGCACGACCCCAACCGGGGCCAGTGATTGAACCCATGGCTCTTTGGTTCATGGGCTGATGCTCTTAACTGCTGAGCCAAACCGGCCAGGGCAAAGGGCCAAGTCTTTATACTCCATACCAAACCAGTCTTTGGATATGAACTGCCCATGGAAGGAGATGTGACCTTGGTTAGAATTTCTTTCAGTTAAGGTAATTCCTACAAGGGGCTTATGGCTGAGGGAGGTTCACTCTCAGCATCCCACAGCTAGGGAAATAAACCCTTCATCCCTGAAGGGGACCTGGGCACCATGTTAAATTAGTGAGTAGGGCTGTTCATCAAATTAACCAGGTGACTCCCTAGGGCTAAGGGCAGTCTTGTTGGTACACCCCAGTGCTTCTCAGAGCAGTGGTTTAGGCAGGGCCACACCCACTCCATGTCACCTCGACCCACCAGTCTCTTGCCAGGACCACCTTCAATAACCCATATGGCATTTTAACCCCACTTGCTTTATTCAATTCTCAGTTCACTTTCTGTGTTCATGTTTTGCTTTTCCCAACTAGATTGTTTAAAGGGAACACTTTAAAACTTGTTTTCCATAATAGCTACCTTGGTTTCTGCTTCATCTTACATGTTAAAGGAACGTCTGTTGCTTGAGGGGAATTTTTGGTTAGGTCTGATAACGCACTCCTGGGGGTGGGGGTGGTTAGGGTAAGTGGGAGGTGCAATGTGGTGTCCTGCAGGGTTTAAACCTGCTCCATTCTAAGATCTGCCCAGACATTTACCTAGAGCCCCACCTTAAGTCTACGAGTCAGAACCTCCAGAGAGCCTGGGATTAGCAAAATACAGGCCTCAGGACATTCTCACTTGGGGAAAGAGCAAAGCACTGGATTTAAATCCAGGCCCTGTCACTTACTAAGGGTTCTGTACAGATCTCTGGTCCTCAATGACCTCATCCACACACTGGGGCTAATACCTCATAGCATTCTTGTGAAGATTTAAAGTAACATGCATGTGAAGTTATTAACATGAGACACCATATTTTTCCATTGATTTTTGGATAGAGTAGAAGGGAGGGAAGAGAGAGAAACATCTATTGGTCGCCTCCCACACAACCCTGGCAAGGTCTGAGGGCTGATGCTCTAACCACTGAGCCAAGCTGACCTTGACAACCAAACACTTTTTAAAAAAATCCTCACCCGAGGATATTTTTTCATTTATCTTCAGGTACAGTAGGAGGGAGGGAGGGAAAGAAACATTGATGTGAGAAGAGACACACAGATTGGTCGCCTCCCGCAGGACCCTGACCAGGGCTGGGAACCAAGCCACAACCAAGGTATTTGCCCTTGACTGGAATTGAACCCTTGACTCTTTGGTCAGCGGGCCAAAGCTCTAAGCACTGAGAAATACCGGCCAGGGCTACAACCAAACTCTTGACTCTGCATATCACTGCCTCCTGCAAACCAGGTTCAGGAGCTCAGGGCATCTCTTTAGGTCAGAGGCAAAGAACACGTTCTTGTGAATGAACTGGTGAGGGCTATGAGGCACTAGTTCTCAGACGGTGATCCTCAGATTACCCGCATCAACTGGCCCCTAGGCCCTGCCCAGGAATCGGTATGTGTAGCAGGTTTCCCAGTTTACAGTGAAGCACAATCAAGTTTGAGAACCACCACCTGTCTCCTTTCTCCTCTGCTTGTACCAGTGAATAGGCCACTGATGTGTGAGCAGATGGCTAGATATAGATTCTCAAGTTTCTCAACTAGTTTTATAGCAATTACATTAAAGCAACTACTGTGGAACAATGCTCATTGCCTACCTCTGACTCATGGATTAGAAAACACATCCAGTGTTTCAAAGGACATCTGAAATTTTGTTTCAAGTACCAAGCACCAGAAGCACCCTTTATAAATTACACACACAAATTGACAAGGCAGCATTGATCACAGGCTGTTACAGGCAACCGGATATGCCTAGTGTTTGTTCAAATGATCATTAATTGGTTTAAATGCTGGAAACTTAAGATATGTAAACATCCACCCTGTTTGAACATCTTTAGTACATCAAAGGATTTTCAAGTGCTTTTGTCTGGCTACAACTTGCATTTACTAACAATGTAGCAGCAACAGCAGGGACTAGGAGAAAAGGGTGCATTAATCATTGGTAAGGTTGAGAGGCAGGACAAGATTGGGCATTCAGTTAGGGTACATGAAGCATGGATGGCTTCTGGGTCTGGCCCCTGTGAAGCCATAATCCAAATTTGTATCTATGCTTATCCAGTTTTCTGGGGATAAAGTCTAGCTTTTCTTAGATTGTTAAAGTTCAGAACCTCCAAATGGTTTAAAAATTAGGGACTAGATATTGTGAAGGCTTCTGACAGCTCTAAGGTTCTAAAGAAAACCAATGTCCCAGCTCCTTTTGGGGTCTAACCTGGATGGGTCACTGACTTCATTTGGTTTTTTAAAACTGAACAAATGCTTCCTCTATGCCACTTGTTTCTTCCTGAACAAAACAGGTCCCGTTGGGCAACATTCTTCACTTTGTACAAACAAGACTATTTTTTCCCAGACAGTATGATTTAACTTCTTTTAATGCAGTCTGCTATAAAAATGGATGAAGACTTCTGCATGGTGCATTTGCTTTACAAATGTTAATGACTATTTAATGCCTTTGTTATGTGTTGCACATCGTTATAATCTGTTGACCAGTAACATAGCTTTTGCAACATGAGTTAAATACCAAAACTGCGGATCATGGAACTTTTACTTAGCACACACAATCTACGGCAAACTTAAATACTAATCTATAACACCTAACTGGATTATTGGATCCATTGCAGTATTGTGCTTATTTATCTCAGAAGATAGGCAACTAGCAAAAATACACATTTCTTTTTCATTTCCCCACCCCCATATTACACTGTAAAAGAAATACATTATTCAGTGCACTTCCTAAGAAATAAACTTCCTCATAATCTCTCTCTATATATATCTATGCCAAAACAAAGGAAGAGCACAATGCAACCTTTAAGATTACCATTTAAAGCAAAAGAGGTAATAAAACTCTGGGACTATAGCCCCTCTATTTAGAAAGTTCAGCTATTTTATCATCAACACCATCATTTGGCTATGTGTGGGAATAAAGTTCAGTGCATGACTGCTTTGGGCAGTTTAAGATACTCCCTTCATCACTGGTAGACTCCCTGGGGCATTTACAGTTTTTAAATGTTGAGTATTGGCCTTAATCAAACCATAAGCTGTGGAGATACCAATATGCTCCCCTGTGGGTTACACATTAATTTCCATCATCTGCCCATCAACTCATATTGGATTAAGAGGAAACAGACATAAATGATAGCATGATGTATGTGAGGATACCATCCCTGGACACTTTGTACGTGATATCCATCCCCGTGGACACAAAGTCATAGAACCACACCGGAGCTGGGTTGTAGGGAGTCTTGTTTTAAAGAGGGAGATAGTCATTATACTCTATGGACTTTGTTTGCTCTACTAGTCTACAGGTTGGAAAATCTGAAGGCTTTGTCCTCAGACTTTCTGTGATGAAAGTGACATAAATTTCTAGAACAAAAGAGACTGCCACTTGGAAGCGTGTGGGCTAAACCCAGCTGCATGTTTAACCAGCAGTGTTTAAACGTTTTTGAACCAATTCTTAATATTTAAAACTGAGAATGTTTCCCATGAAAATTTGGATTTTATAAAAATTTGAGGAGCTGGTAACTCTGGCCCAGCATTCTTGCACAGCAATGAGCAGCTGGACTGAACAGGAGTGGACAGACCTTTCAAATGGGGCCTGGGCACTCCAGTTTGCCACATCTCCTGCTACTCCCAGCCGTCTCACACCACGGGACTGAGTGACCGGTTTCACTCATTTACATGCCCAGTTGAGTTTTGTGACGCTGGTGTTAGTTGGGCTCTGCCTTTTTATGAATCTGAAGACCTGACCTCATTTGAAATTTTCCCCACCTCCTGGTGGGCAAGATTGCTCCTCTGATTGACTGGGTTCCAGACCCGTCTAGTTGCTTTGGTAGGTAATCTTAACATGCATTTCTACTCATCCCTTATGCTATATTGCAAACTCCAAAGATATAATCATACTAATATTTATGTGTTAAGCGTGTGTTGTTAAACACGTAAAGGGGTGTGTATCTATACAGATATATGAATACCTCCATTTAGGCAAAAGTTAATTTGGTTCCACAGATATAGACACCAAGTGCTGGCAGCCTGGAGAATAAGTGTAACAATTTGGTAAAACCTATATAATTCTAACTTATAATATTACAAAGAGTGACTTTTAAGTTATTGCTTTTGATTACAGAATAAAGATCTTTCTGTTGCAAAACTTTTATACAGAATGAGCAACCAGTTCCTATTCAAGTAATAGCAATCGGAATCAGAAGTTCCTTACACGACAGTAGATGCTTGAAGACATTTTTCGAATGGAGATGTGATTTCATTCTATGCAAGAATTTATGCAGGAAACTGGGAGTGACTTAATTTTTCAAAAGTACAAGAAAGTTAGCACCCCCATTACTTAATGCTCAGGAGGGCTTCTCATGGGCTCTAAAAAGTTCTGATTGGTGGTGAGTTCACATCCACCTTTAGGATCCCCACTCTACTTATACAGCTTGTACTTTAAAAACAGTAAAAGAGGATTAAAAGCAGTGTTTGTTTTTAACATTCAGAATTCACAGAGGATCTCATTTTCTGCAATTAAATGAGCCGTTTTGTGTTTTTGCTGCAGAATCACATTCATATGGCAGTCTTATGACAGGCACTTTTAAAACATGTTCATCTGGAATAAAAATCTGCACGAACCACTTCTGCATAAATCAAAACGAGTGTTGAGTGATTCTAGTCCCAAAATAGACAGCAAGTCACCACCTGGTACTCAGTGAGCTTCTCTATCACGATACCATGGTAACTGCTGAGCTTGAGACGTCTTTGAGGTGCTCCTCTAGCTTTATAGTACAAAGAGGTGAGTCATAAAAATCCAAACTACTCAGTTTCTACTTAAAAACATATAAAAAAGTGAAATACACTACATGTATTGTAGAGATGGTTTTAGATACTATTAAAATAAATAACATGATCTGACTCAACGGTTTGACCTCCGAGCTCTTGGGCAAAATCTGATGGGATGTCAAATGTGGAGACCCTCTCCCAAGGACTAGCTGCTGGTAGGCAGAAGTATCTCCACATCCTTGCCATTGGCTACGACATTGGAAGAACAGCTGCTCGTGAGGTCTTCTGTGGTGGTCAAAGAGGATGCTGGGGAATGAGTTTTGGTCAGTGGAGTGGCAGCAGATGAAGAAGGAGTGAGGCCAGGTTTTTTTGGTGGAATGGGTGGAGGGTTTCCTCTCTCTGCTCTGGGGATGGTAGGGGACTTGATCCCTGGAGACAGGGGGCTCAGAGGACTGGACACTTTCCCTGGAGTGGGTGAATGGCTGGTGTCTCCTCTTGGGCTGGCAGTATTGGCCAGATTTCGATAGTCTGTGCCAAAGGGAGAGCTGTTGGGCGAGACAGGCTTGATGGGCCCTTGTTGGCTGGTGAATCTGGAGAGCACCTGAGTGACCGTATTTCGGGCCAGCTGCTTGGCGGCAGAGTTGTCTATGAGGGTGGGGGACAGATCTCTCGATGGAGGGCTCTGCAGACCGCTGGCTTGTTGGTCCTGATCTGCTTGGGACTGAAATTTGTGCCGAGCTGCATGGAACCGCTGGTTGATCCCTACTTGGTAGGAAGACTGGTAGCCGGGGCTGCTAGCTGAGGACCCCAGTAAGCGCTTCGTTAGTACTGGTGATGAGCAAGGAGAGGATGTGAGAGAGGAGGACGCAGTGCTGCTGGGAGACAGTGAGCTCCCACTGGAAGGGAGTGGACTCGGCACTGGGACTGGACTATCGGTTCCCCCAGGACACCCACCATTCTCCACGGCTTTCTCTTGGGCCAAGCCCACAGACTTCTCTCGTGGAGGCACTTGATTTTCCACATTACTGCCTGTAATCAACTCCTTGGTCATTTGCATCTCTGGGTCAAAATGGCCATTGGCTTTTGCATAACAGTAAGTAGGAGTGGTGGGACCGGGAAGCCCAGAGGTTGTTGTCTTGGCTAGGTTGCTCCCATGGGTTCTTTCTGCCTGAAAACCCTCCGTTTGGCAGAATACAGACACTAGCCTGGGAGGCTCAGTCACTGTGCCTTTAGATGTGGTTACTGGTTTCTTTGATTGCTCATTAGAGCTACTATGCTGATGAGAAGCTTCTAGATCCTTCACAATCTTCTTCAAACTTTCCATCTCTTCTTTCAGAGTTTTGGTCCGGTTCTCTTCTCGGTTCAGTTTTGCTCTCAGTTGTTCTCTTTCGATGTCAAACTCAGACAACTGCTTCTCCACCTGGGCCTCGGTCTGCAATCCTCGCTTCCTCTCAGCTGCCAGCTGCTCCTCCAGCTCACTCACGCGGCCCTTCTCCTTCTCCAGCTTCAGGCTCAGCTCTCCCGCCCGCTGCCCCTCCTCGGCGGCCTTGCTGCTGGCCTTCTTGCACTCGAGCACCAGCATGGACGAGAGCTGCTTGTGGCGGGCGCGCTCCTCTTCCAGCTGACCCGACAGCTTCTTCTGCTCCTTTTCAAACTTCTTCACTTGGGACTTTTCAAATTCCAGCTAGGAAAAAAGGCCACCACATGTCTTGATTAGCGTAAAAAAAGACAAAAACAAAGAGATACACTGAAAAGGTGTTGTGAGTAGAGTGCCGACTAGCTGTTCCTGGCACACAGGATTATGCATGCCACGCTTAAACCAGGTACTTCCGGTGTCAGGACACCCAACACGAAAAAGCACGCATTATAACTGAACTCTTCTTTGATGACTTAGGAAGCACCTCTGCTTCTTATAGTCTCAAGGTTCCTGGTGGGAATCTGAACCATCATCATGTTTTGGGTGTGTGGGGAGTTCAGAGGATCAGAAGCAATTAAGACAGAGAACAGAAAGCCCATGAACCAGACTTTGTGAAGAAAGCCGCCAGAGATGGATGAAACCTCTGAAGCTTCAGGAGTGATTCTTTCTGGGCATAAACAGACAGACAGCAGTAGTTGCATCTAAGTCATACTTTTTATGCAAATACAGTCTGTTTTGATCATCATCCCAACCCCATTTAAAGGGAAGCGTTGAAGGGACCCTTTTAGTCAATGTTTTTCAAACTTTTAGATCCATTAATGGATGGGGAAACCAACTGAGTGAGTCATAACCAGAACTTTTAAAAGATAAAATAGAAGAGAAAACATCTATGTGTATTGTAACCAGTAAGGATTTTGTATGATTTCATGATATTTTTTGCTTCACGCCTGTGATGTAAAATGTATTTCTTACTGGGAGTTCTAAGTCAGAAAAAGTTTGAGTGTTTGAAGTTAGTATTCCCCAAAGTATATTCTATGGAACAGTAGTTCCACAGTGATTGATATATATGTATGAAAGCACAGAACACCCTCACAATGTGCTTCTGCATACTAAAGGGTCTACAAAACTGGTTAGAAACCTGCTTAACTTTGTTTAATCCAGCAATTCCAAGACATCTGACCACAAAACCCTTTTTCTTTTTTTTAAACGAATGATTTTTTTTTTTCTTTATTGGTTTTAGAGAGAGAAGAGGGAGAGGAAGAGAGAGATAGACACATCGGTGAGAGAGAACACCGACTGGCCGCCTCCTGTATGTCCCCCACTGGGAATTGGGCCCACAACCTGGGCAGGTGCCCTGACCGGGAATTGAACCGGCAACCTCTTGGTGCATGGGTTGACGCTCAACCACTGAGCCAACCAGCTGGGAAAAGTCCTTTTTCTTGAGCACTAAAAATTTACACCCGGCAAAACAGTCTCTGAGAAATGCTATTGTAGGCAACGGTTGCTGCAGCCCTCTCCATCTCATTACCTGTTGGGTTAGTCGCTCTCTCTCCTTCTCCAGCATGTAGGTGACATCATCTCCTTCTGCTGTGTCCTGTGCATGCCTTTGCCTTTCTTCCTCGAGGTCGAGGATCACCTTTAAAGAATTAAAAAATGTCATTTCCAAATATCAGGGAATCACACTTAAAATACAATTAAATACTAAGTGCCTATCTAATGAAGCACCTAGGACAGTTCCAGAGTCAGACAGACAAGTGGGTCCCAGTCAGGGCCTTCAAGGAGCACGCTGTCTGGCGGGACGAGAGGCAGGCCAGCTACATGCTGGGAAACAGTAAGGTGCATGCTTCATTGATGTAACGCACAATGGCATGTCAACAGGAGAGAGCAACTGATTAGCTGCAGGGGCTTGGAAGGCTTCAGAGAATTAACAGAAGGTCCAGGAAACAGGCAGTTTGGTGGCACTAAGGGACAGGTATAGGTCATGAAGCAAGACAGGACCATGGAAAGTGGAAAGCTGAGCTTCTCCCCCAAGATGTGTAAATCACTGGAGGCACCAAAGAGGGGGTCTGAAAGTAAACATTTTAAATGGGCGACATCCTAAGTGTGCCTTGCTTAATTAATAACCTGCATTTTGTATATTGGTAGGTAAGAGGTGCAAAAATCCTCTTTACTTCATCCTGTATGTAAAATGACTTAATTATTGGGGTCTTAGATGGAGATTTTTCACAGGGCCTTTTAATTAACCCGCCTACCAATTTCACTCATCCTAGTGCCAAAGGACGAAGCCCAATTTTAAGAATACAAGTTGAAAGGGGCATATGCCACATAATCCTACCTGTAGCTAACTGTGCAATATTCTCAGGGCAGTGCACCTTGTGGGAACTTCTGTTCCTGCTCCAGAGGTGCCCTGGCCCAGACCACAGGGCAGGCACCACCCCCCACCGGCCATTTCTCATGGCTTCTCCTCACTAGCAAATGGAGAGAGAAATCCTGGCCCATGCAGCTCAAGTGGTTGGATCATCTTTCCGTGCACTGAAGGGTGTAGGTTTGATTCCCAGCAGGGACACATGCCCAGGTTGCGGGTTTGATCCCCAGTCAGGGTGCATGCGGGAGGCAACCAACTGATGTCTCTTTCTCTCTCTTCCCTCTCCCTTCCTCTCTCTCTCTAGAAATCAGTGAAAAAGTAAATGGAGAGAGAAAATTTTCTGAGACATGAAACTCCTCTTTAAATATAATGAAAACATTTTGGTGTACTTCCTTCCAGTTTAAAAAACATCTAATTTTTCAATTTAACAAAAAGACAAGTTTTTGGCTAAAGGTGTTAGATAATCTCCTCTCCTTCCCGAGGGCCCTCTGAAATTACAGAAATGGAACAAAAAGAATAAAAACTCACAAAGACAAAGAGAGACTTCAGCAGACAAAGCAATTAAATAACATTCTGAAGAAACAGGCTGGAGGAGTGGGAACCGTTTTGGGCTGGGGGAGGAAGCTGCTCTGCCCTTCAGGACCTCAGAGAGTGGAACCTGGCGGTGGTGGGCACTGCAGGAGAGGTGTGATGCTGGGCAGAAGATAAGGGGCCTGGCTCTAAGTCTTTAGTTCTCAGAAGAGTGATCTGTCCCCTCAACTCTATTCTTATACATAAGCCAGAGGCTTAGCCCCTGAAGACACAGAAGGGACAGGCTCAGGATCTTGGGAAAGCAGATGTGACAGAGAACGGGGCTGAAGAAAGTGGTTGTGTTTGTTTGGGGATGATGTTGGGGTGGAGAGAAAGGAAGGTGGGGTGTAAGATAACAAAATCCACATCTGTAATAAAAGGAAGTACTTAAGTATCTGAAACTGATAAAGCGAGAGAGTGTATATAGTATTTAGAAATATGGAAGTTATCTATCAAAACAAACAGTTATTAGAAAAAAGTGGTTGTCTGAATACTGAGGAGGGGGACTGGGAAGAGGTGGACTAGGGAACTCTGTTTTTCATAATAAGTAGAATAACCATGTAATTCATTGTTGCAACCACAACACTTTTGAGAGTCAAAGAGGGCATACTGTTAATAAACATGCCAGGTGACAGGCATAAACTGCACTCTCTCAGGCAAACTGGAACTATAAGCACCCTAATTATAAGCCTCTAGATACTACTTGATGTCTAACAAAGTCAGTGTTCTACTTTGATAAAACACTTAAGATTAGATAGGCAGCTGGTTTAAAATAGTTAACATTCAAATAATCTTTTTTATAAATATGCTTTTATTGAGTTTTTAGAGAGAGAAAGGGAGAGAGAGATAGAAACACCCATGTGAGAGAGAAACATGTATCGGCTGCCTCCTGCGCACCCCGTACTGGGAATTGAGCCCAAAACCCTGGCATGTGCCCTGACCGGGAATTGAATGAGGACCCTCAGTCCATGGTCAGTGCTCAGTCCACTGAGCCACATTGGCTGGGCAACATTTAATCTTACATTGAAATGTAGTATTAAGGAATTTGGAATGATGGCTAATTTCTTCCTTTCTCTAATCACTTAAAGCTACAAATCACCCCAATACTACCCTTGCCATGGGCTCAACAGCCAGCCAGCCCTTCAGCACAGCTCAGTTACTTCATGTCTGAGGTGGGAAAAAGGCCTACCTACCAAACAAGGAAGTTGTGGAGACTTTCTTAGAGGATTATATAAAAGCCCCCACCACCAACACTTTAGAGGCAACTAACTCAAACCCACTCACACCTTTTTTATTGATTTTAGAGAGAGAGAAAGGGGGAGAGAGAGCGATAGAAACATTGATGAAAGAGAACATCAACTGGCTGCCTCCTGCATGCCCCTTACTAGAATTGGGCCTACAACCTGGGCCTGTGCCATGACCAGGAATCGAACTGATGACCTCTTGGTGCATGGGTGATGATCAGCCACTGAGCCACACTGGCTGGGCCCATTTACACCTTTTAAGGTGGGGCATAAATGTCTTCGGGTTACTTCAGTAGACCAGAAGTTAACCTTTTCTGGGTCTGGGACAACTATGAGAATTCAATTAAAAATATGGGAAAAATGCCCTGGCCAGTTTGGCTCAGTGGTTAGAGCATCAGCCTGCGGTCCAGAGAGACCCGGGTTCGGTTACCGCTAAGGGCACGTACCTCGGTTGCAGTTTGTCCCCGGCCCTGGTTGGGTTGTGTGGGTGGCAACCACTTGATGTGTCCTTTTCACGTCGATGTTTCTCTCTCTCTCTCTCTCTCTCTCTCTCCCTCCCTCTCTCCCTCCCTCCCTCCCTCCCTCCCACTCTATCTAAACAAAATATTGAAAAATGTCCTCGGGTGAGGATAATAATAATAATAATAAAGATATGGGGAAATTTCATTTTCTATAAAAATGTATAAGCTTTGGCATTCTGTATATTTTTAGGGGTATCATGAAACATCTGAGGCCCACCCATCATTGAGAACCTCCACTCTGGCTTCTCATTTGGACTCTCTGAAGGGACAGAAAATCCATGGGCAAGACCTGAGCCTAAGCAGTTTGTCAGATGCATTTTAGCAGATGGCTCTTGAATGCAGGTAACCGTAAGAGTAATCTAAGGTTCATCAAGCTGCAACTGCTAACCCAATTTTTCAGAATAAGTTGCTTCCTACCAATTGGGCTGATGCCTCCTCCCCGCCTTGTTGGTATAAAACTAAACCAATAGTTTTTTTTTTTTTAAATGCAGATTCTAGCCAAGCATGTTTTACAGGCCAAATCTGAGCAGTAAATGACAAGACTGGGAATAAAATCATAAGCACGAGAATTCCAATGAGATGAGGAAAGCACAGGTTTGCCTTCCTAACGAGGGCTGTAAGACCTGGAGCCAAACACACACTTTCCTACTAGGGTAGAAGGTTTGAAGGTAAGCAACCCTAGGGGCTGTTTATGGTTTCATGAGAAGTAAAATGCAATGCAACTCAAAACCAGAAATAAATAACAATAATTTAATGGCTTATAGTCAGGTAAATTCTTTCTTTTGTTCATTCCCCAAATACCTGTTAATCTTTCTCTTTATCACTGAAGTAAGCAAACAGAGAATGCTCCTTTCAGCTACAAGCCCGGTCACACCCCAGTTTGTTGCCAAAGTTTGAATGGTGGAGAGCTGAGAAAACATACCAAGTGTTTGGAATGCCATATCCAGGAGGAATGTGTCTTGAACGTGTCTGGCATACTCCCTAAATCTAACATTTGCAATAGCCTGTGTTTTCTTTCCTATCTCCTAGCTCCTTGGTGAGCTAAGGGGCTTTGTGATACCTGTGGAACTTGTGACTGAATTACTGTGAAAACTGTCAGCTGAAAGGAAACATCAGGCATTATTATAAAGTTTTCCTAAGAGTCTATTTAGCCCGTGTCACCCAGAAGAGCCCACCTTTCGGTGCCTACTCTCGGCAGCAGCCAGCTGGGACAGCATCCGTTCCTGCATGTTCTTACACTGCTTCATCACCACCTTAAGAATCGACAGTGGGTTTGTGCAGACCGGCTGCTTCTCGCCCTCATTTTTCTCCTTCAGTGTTTCAAAGTCTCTCTGCAGAGCCATTAAAGGATCGCTGATGTTGTATTTTCCATAGCGTTCTTCAATGAAAGTATCTCTGTGTTGGGCCTGGTGATGAGAAAAAAAAATTGCATTTTGCTTTTTAAAACTACTGATGAGGGGGATTTGCTAGTAGTTACACATTAAAGGTGCTGGGTTAGTATGAATATAACTTATTGACTGCTAATCCAATGGAGCCATCTAGATGTAGAAACAACATCAGAATTATAGTACAGTATAATAGTAATGAAAACAAACACTTATACAGAGCTAACTATGTATCAGACATGTTCTAAGCATTTACATTAACATTAACTTATTTAAATTTTACAACCCTATCAGATAGTGCTATCATCTCCATTTTGCAGCTGAGAAAACTATTATGGAGAGGTCAGGTAACCTGTTACAGGTTACTCATCTACCAAGTGATCAGACTGGGGTTTAAACCCAGGCAACCCGGCTCTAAAGTCTACACAAGGGGTGTACCTCGAGGGCACAGCTGGGGTGATCAGGGAGTCTGTACCACTGGACCCTACAGAACACCTAATACAATAGGCCACCCTATGAAGCCTAGGAGACATAGTAACTCTACCTAATACACACAAACAAACACAGGGAGGCAGCCAAAATGAGGAGACAAAGAAACATGTCCCAAATGAAAGAACAGGACAAAACTCTATGAAAAGAACTAAATGAAACAGGGATACACAATCTAACAGATGCAGAGTTCAAAATACTGCTTATAAGGATGCTCAATGAACTTAGGACCTCAAGAGCATAAGAAAGGACCAGTCAGAAATGAAGGAAGCACTAACTGAAATAAAGAATAATTTATAGAGAATCAATAGTAGAGTAGGTGAAGCCAAGAAGCAAACCATCGATTTGGAATATAAGAAAGCAAAAAAACACCCAATCAGAACAGCAAAAAGAAAAAAAGAATCCTCCCAAATGAGGACAGTGTAAGGAGCCTCTGGGACAACTTCAAGTGTACCAACATTCGCATCATGGGGGTGCCAGAAGGAGATGAGAGAGCAAGAAATTGAAAAACTATTTGAAAAAATAATGACCGAACACTTCCCTAACTTGCCGAAGGAAACAGACATACAAGTCCAGGAAGCACAGAGAGTCCCAAACAAGATGAACCCAAAGAGGCTCACACCAAGACACATCATCATCAAAATGCCAAAGGTTAAAGACAAAGAGAGAATCTTAAAAGCAGCAAGAGCTCTGGCTGGTTTGGCTCAGTGGTTAGAGCGTCGGCCTGCGGACCAATGAGTTGCGGGTTCAATTACGGTCAAGGGCATGTAGCTCAGTTGCAGTTCATCCCTGGCCCTGGCAGGGTCGTGCGGGAGGCAACCAGTTGATGTATCTCTCTCACATCGATGTTTCTCTCTTTCTCTCTCTACCTCCCTCCCACTCTATCTGATGATAAATGGAAAAATATCCATGGGTAAGGAATAAAAACAAAAAGAGCAGCAAGAGAAAAGTTACCTACAAGGGAGCTCCTAGAAGACTATCAGCTGATTTCTCAAAAGAAACTTGGCAGGCCAGAAGGGAACGGCAAGAAATATTCAAAGTGATAAAAGCAAGGACCTACAACTAAGATTACTCTATCCTGCAAAGCTATTCCACCACCAAACCAGTATTATATAAAATGTTGAAGGGTCTTCTTGAAGAAAAAGATAAAAAATATGAACAATAAAATGACAATAAATACATATCTATCAACAATTGAATCTACAAAATAAATAAACAAGCACAACAGAAACAGACTCATAGATACAGAGAACTTTTTGATGGCTGCCAAATGGGAGGGGGGTTGGGTGGAATGGGCGAAAAAGGTGAAGGGATTAAGGAGTGCAAATTGGTTGTTAGACTGATGAACCTCAAAGGGAAGAGGGGGGCAGGAAGAGATAAAACAAAGAACTTATATGCATATATGCATAACCAATGGACACAGATAATAGTGGGGGGAAGGCAGGAGGGAGATGGGAGTGGGGAGGAGGGGGTCAATAGGGGAAATAGTGGGCCCTGGCCAGTTTGGCTCAGCGGTTAGAGCGTCGGCCTGCGGTCCGGAGAGACCCGGGTTCGGTTCCCGCTAAGGGCACGTACTTTGGTTGCAGTTTGTCCCCGGCCCTGGTTGGTCGTGCGGGTGGCAGCCACTCGATGTGTCCCTTCACGTCGATGTTTCTCTCTCTCTCTCTCCCTCCCACTCTATCTGTACAAAAAATGGAAAAATATCCTCGGGTGAGGATAAAAAAAATAATGAAAAAAAAAAAATAGGGGAAATAGTGGGGACATCTGTAATATATTCAACAATAAAGATAAGTTTTAAAAAATAAATAAAATACCGAGGAACCAAAAAAAAAAAAAGGTTGAGGTTCTGCTTTTCTGTCACTTATTATTTTTTTTAATCCTCAACTGAGGATATTTTTTTTTAATAGATAGACTGGGAGAGAGGGAGAAAGAAAGAGGTAGAGAGAGAGAAAGAAACATTGATGTGAGAGAGACACATTGACTGGCTGCCTCCACATGACCTTGACCGGGGCTGGAGATCAAACCCACAACCAAGGCATGTGCCCTTGACCGGGAATCAAACCTACAACTCTTTGGTCCATGGCTAATTGCTGAGCCAAACCAGCCAGGGCTCTCTCACATTTTTACTCATGGTTACCATTCCTGTATGCTTAGCAATGGCAAAGGAATGATTACTGGTACTGAAATTGGTTTAGTAGGGCAACTCCCCCCATAACAAAAACCTGTAAACCTGAGTATTTTATGACCTTTTCATTTTCAGAACACCATGGAGAAAGAGGAATGAGACAGCAGGAGCTGGGAGTACATACAATTCATGACCTTGATATTAGATCTGCTGAGAAACCATCTTTCAGGTTTGAGTATATGGTTAACTAATCCTTAAAAATATGACTTTTTCAGCCCTGGCCTGTTTTTGCTCAGTGGTTAGAGCGTCGGCCTGCGGTCCAGAGATACCCGGGTTCGGTTCCCGCTAAGGGCATGTAGCTCGGTTGCAGTTTGTCCCCGGCCCTGTTGGTCGTGTGGGTGGCAGCCACTCGATGTGTCCCTTCACGTCGATGTTTCTCTCTCTCTCTATTCCTCTCTCTCCCTCCCACTCTACCTGAACAACAACAACAACAACAAAAAAATGGAAAAATGTCCTCAGGTGAGGATAAAAAAAAAAATGACTTTTTCAAACCCACACTGTTATTATCCTGTATAATTAATAAGCATCACCGAGTTACGAGTAATGGACAAGGAGCGAGTGTGGTGTGGTCTCAGACTTCTGAGAACAGTTGTTAAGCTGTCTGTTTTCTCTTGAAGTACTTCATAGTAATTCCGTAATCACTTGCATAGTAATTACAAGCTGTATACAATTGGTGGCTTTGCACATAAATGAAAAGAATCTGTGGAATAATTTTAAAAAGTCTTGTTGTCACAACACAGTTCACTTAAATACATTCTAATATGGGAAAAATGAAGTCAAGCTCTGTATTTATTATACTAAACCCTGGACTGGAAAATGGGAGACAGAATATAGTAATTTTTCAACCAACTTAATGCCTCAATCAGGTGAACTGTATGGATGACAGGTTTAAATAGCACAATAATAATGACAATAACCAAAATAGATGTTAGGATTTAAAGAGTGAAAGAAGAGCTTTAGTGGAGGTGTGCATTGGTTATCTATTCCTGCATAACACATTACCCTACAATTTAGCAGCTTAAAAATTAAACATTTTTTAATCTCCTGGATTCTGAAGGTCAGGAATCTGGGAGGGGTGGTCCTGGCTCAGTGTCTCCTGAAGTTGCAGTCAAGCTGTTGGCCAGCACTGCAGTCATCAGAAGGTAAACCAGGGCTGGTGAGACCATTTCCAAGCTGACTCACATGGCTCTAGGCCTAGGCCTTGGTTCCTCGCAGTGGTGGCTTTCCACAGAGCAAGTGATGCAAGAGAGAGACCGACACACCAAGGTAGAAGCCCCAGTGTCATTTACAACAATCTTAAAGTGACATACCATCACTTCTGATGTATTCCACTGGCCACACAGACCAACCCTGGTAAACATGAGAGGACTACAAACATAAAGGTATGACTACCAGGGGGTGGGATCGTTGGGGGCCATCTTGGAGGCTAGTTGCCACAAGGTGAATGAATCAATACGCTACTGCTATTTGTATCTCAGTTGAATATTTTGTAAAACCTGTCACGGTTGAGTTTTAATACTTTAATGGTATTTCAGCTATTTTATAAAAAATCATAAATGATCTTGATTTGACTTTTGGGGGAGGAATTCAGTAATACAGCTGAAACCAATTTCTTGTAATTTCATTCTTTTCACTTCGACGATAACATATACTTTAATTGCACAGAAATTCCTACACTGTCAGAAAACTCTTAAATGCTCTTTAATTTCAGACAACAGGAAAATAATGGGCTGGTTAGACAGATTAAATTATATAGGGTATTACTACAGCAGACAAAACATGCTAGTCATCTAGTACTCATTTATTTTTACTGTCACAGGCTGAATAAAACACCATTACTGAAAGCTTAACATAAACCACAGATTACCCTGGTGTCTGCCATGCTTGCTCTCCAGAACTTTCAGCTTTGCACTGACAAAACTAAAAAGAAACATAAAGCAGTCACTTCCTCTCCTCTTCCCAGTATTGTTTATACTATTATAGGAAATTAATCTTTTTATTTTTTAATTTTAAAAATAGGAATTATGGCCCTGGCCGGTTTGGCTCAGCGGTTGGAGCGTCCGCCTGCGGTCCGGAGAGACCCGGGTTTGGTTCCCGCTAAGGGCATGTACCTCAGTTGCAGTTTGTCCCCGGCCCTGGTTGGTCGTGCGGGTGGCAGCCACTCGATGTGTCCCTTTCACATCGATGTTTCCCTCTCTCTCTCTCTTCCTCTCTATCCCTCCCACTCTATCTGTACAAAAAATGGAAAAATGTCCTCAGGTGAGGATTAAAAAAAAAAAAAAGGAATTATGTAACTTAAATTATTCATTGATTTTGGGAAAGTGAGAGAAACACAAAAACACTAACT